CCTCCCACGACTCGAATATTTCACTATTCTTCTTCAGGAGAATAAAGGGTGCTTTGTGTATATTCATTTATTCTCCTGAAGAAGAATAGTGAACTATTCGAAAGCGCTCGAGTTTTGGGTCTCGTTTGAAAACCATTACAACTTTTGTATGTGATTCTGTGTGCTAACTTCTTAATCGGAATCACATATCAAATATCCACCTTTTGTTGTATAAACTCTGTTGACTAGATTATTCGACCCAAACCACTGAAAAGAGGGTATAATAATTTATAAATAGTTCTTCGGATCAGATATGAGCTGATGGGGAGTTTGCGTGCAAAGGAGATCCTGGTGTGTACTGCACTATGTAATAATAATCTAGCCTTAAAATGTTTTATTACAGCCATATATCTATCTATCTATCTATTCATATAATATGTTTGTGCTTTATAAACTACACAATATTAATAAATCGTTACGGCAAAACTTCTGTGTAATGTTAGGTGAGATAACAAAACGTTAGGTTAAGAGCATTATATGTACTATACACCGACTTTAATAGATTTTTACTCAAATCGATTTAGTTGTATATTACACACATATAACTGAATTGATAAATAGTAACCGCACATCTAGGAACGTTCCTGAATATAATCTGATATTCGTTATGATTAATAACAAGGCATTAGAAACGCACTTCGCTTTGTCTTTATTTTTTGTATGTTTAATTATGCAGTACCAAACTGGGCAACACGTGCAGCTGATGTGAAACTGCCTTCAGTTGTTTAAACGCATTAAAAACTAAAATGTTTGCACTCTGATTATCAGCCAAAAACAGCAAGACTATTTTAGAATGTTTTCTTTAAACTAAAGATAACAAACTAAAAAACACTGATGTAGATGTGACGAAAAAAACTATTTTGAACAATGTGTTTGACACTGTGTAAAGTTTTAAGTACAAATTATTTTTGAATTTGAATAATTTCTAACGAGCACAAAAAAAAAGAATAGTACGTCCCCTGATGACTACCGTCCATACAGGAACTTGAAGTATTTTCTAGCTATTGTATTTAAACTTCCATATTTATATCGTTTTTCCCCAACAGATGAAGTCTTGGAGAAACCTGTCTCAGTACTACTAGACGGTGAGGAGTATGAGTTGATATTTATTGACCATCCCATTAGGGCTGACATAATGGTAACCTTTTTATGTTATATACATATTGTCACTTTTAATTATTTCATATTCTGAAGTTGTTTTAATAATCTCGATGTCAGAATCAGAACCGTTAATTTTATAGAAACAATGCTAAATCAGGTAAGCGTGTGATAGAGTCTTACTTAGTTGATATAACTGTTTGACGTAACATGTAATCTAACTTGAGAATACGAATTTGTTGCTATTAACAAGACAATAGGTGCATCAATTGAAACTGAATTTATTATCGTTGCTTACATGACATTCTGATTTGGCATAACATATAGTATAACAAGACAGTGTAAATGTATTGTTGTTCACGTAATACTGATAATATGTTATATATTCACATTATATATAAGTCTGGTCATATACTGAAGTATCTTTGAATTCAGGTTTGAGTTTTAGAAACATAGCCTATTCTCTGATGTTAGTTACTTTCACTACTGGTTTGACACTATTATCGACAAACACACATTTAGCAAGCCAAATGGGGCCGTAATGTATTCGTTCAATGCGATGCCTAACAAGCCAGTGATAACATAGTTTTAAATCACATTATGTCTGTACAACACATTAGATCAACGTGTTATAGCACTGTAGATCTGTATCCAACCGTTTCGATTCCGCGTTGGATCAACAAATTACGTACCGTATATAGTTAGCCAAGTAGGTCACAACGTATTGATTCAATACGTTGTCGAAATAGCCAATAAGGTTGTCGTAATTCTTGCCAGTCCTCATATCTTAAGCATATTCTTTATTATATAGATGTGAATGAGAGCAGGCTGGTATTCTGCTACCTAGATATATCATGGGAATACTGCTGAGATGCGTCAGGAGTAGGGATTGCAAACGATATCCTGACTGTATCGTGTAGTCTTTGTTGTAAATAATTTACTTTCCTGACATTCATAGTTGTTTAATTGAGACAAAAGATGGTGGATGCGACACTTCTCTTAAATCAACAAATGCAACGTGTAACGTGAAGTGTGATTGGCTCCTTCGACAATGCGTTGAGTTAATACTCTAACCCTGTTGGGTACTGATCTACAGGGTCATAACGCATTGTTCCAACACGTTGCAGAATATCGACAACGCGTTGAGTCTATACGTTATGACTCCATTGGCTACCATCTACAAGGCCAAAACCCATTGTACCAACGCGTAGTTGAAAGTATGGCTACTCGTTGAATTAATACGTTATGGCCCTGATAACTGGTCATACTCGTTGGAGTGCACTGATATTATATTATCCAAACAATAGTTCAAAATTATATATATATAACACACCAAAAGAGTGTGAATCCATTGTTCTTCTTCAGATGACATTGTTGACGTAATGTATATGATACACCTGGTTAATGTGAACTATATATTGTTACATATTATTGTTGGACGTAACATATAGCGCACCTAGAGAGTGTGAATGAGTTCTTATATATTCATGAGAAATTAATGTTCGACATGAAGCATAGCGCTAGCTCGAACCGTCATCCTTCTTTAAATAAAAATATTAAAAAAAAAACTTGGCGATTGTTCAACCTATTATTTAACTTTAAAAATACAATAAGCCAAATACTATTGTAATATGACACATAACTGATTATAATCACGCTTCCTCGACAAAGGTGTTACAACAATAATTGATATTATTGTTTACTAGGTCGGTTAACACAATGTATAATGTGTGAATATATTGATTTAGTTTTCATATGATATTATTGTTCGGCGTATCCATGACTACCGCTATATAACATGAATGTATGATTGTTGTTTTTGTGTTGGTTTATGTTCGACTGTAACGTGTGAATGTATTGTTATTAATTTGTTTGACGTTTTTGTTTGACATGAGAATGTAAATGCTTCATTGTTGTTTTTGAATGCTATATATTTACACGATGACGAAAATCAATACAAGTATATGCATTTATATTTTTAAAGATATCTTATGTGGAACAATGCTAAGTCTATCACGTACGCGCATGTATAGCAGACATACAAAGTTTTTTAGTACTTAAATTGTGTAATGAATAAGTTAGTCGACACTTATGAGGGTACGTGTACAAGGACGACGGATTGAAATGGAAATATTAAATCATACTGTGGTAACTATTGTATCAGTTGAAAGTTCAGTGATCGAACTTTTCAGTTTTAGGTGTGTAACAATTATTTCATGAACAATAATGACAGAAATAAATCAAATACTAGAAATATCACACGTAGTATCCAAACTAACTTATCATTCCGTTATTTATAGATAGATGGGTATAGTGTCACACAGGCTAATAATTCTCTCCAAAATGTTAAGTTTATGCAAGTATATGCTTGTAATCTGAGAATTTAGCAAATGACACAACTTCCTGTACGATCTATGTGATCTGTAGAGTTATTCTTCAACATGTCGATAGGAAACCTTTCAGCAACCAAGAATATAAATAAAATAAAATACATGACCACTTTATGACTTATAAGTGACCACTGACTCTTATGGGTTATGTACGAAACTTCCTTCAACAATCAATGCTCCGTGTTTGAAGTGGAACCGCTGATCATTAAATCGTTTTTTCAGACTGTAACTGATTACAAGATTACGCCAGACTGTAACTGATTACAAGATTACGTCAGAACGAACGTTGTTGAGGATTATAACGGTTTCTTACAAAACTCAAGTCACGTAATATTTTAACCAACACATAATAACCCACCAAATGATTGAAAACGTGCATCTGGAGAAAAGTACGCGCATTTACTTACTTTGTTTTTTTCTTTACATCTGGAGAAAAGCACGCGAATTTACTTAGTTTGTTTTTTCTTTAGTCTGTTTTTCATCTCTCTATTCCGCTAATGTTACAACCTACTTCTTTTAGTTAATTGGATATTTTTTCTATGTTAATATTATCAAATGAAATAAACAACATCAGAATTAAAGCAGATCATGAGAGTAACTTCTAATAATCTACGTTTATTACTTTAATTTTCTTTCCGTCTTTCTTTCGATCGTTATTTACTTCCTTATTCTTCATTAACGTGCAAGACACCCTATGCAACGGTAGGTACGTGTTTAATTACTCGGTTTTCTCGCGAGAACTTTATCAATTCTGTGAGCACTCTGATAACCGAAAGCTTTCGTGGGTAATTTCGCGGTTGTTAATATTAATTTCTAGGAACTAGCTGACTCCCTGCTGTTAAAATGGACAGTAATATCTAAGACTAGTTATTAAATTATCCGCTTGGAGTTCGGGAAAAAGGATTTTGTGCTGCACTCTAAATTGTTGGACTTCATTCCATGGAGTTGGTGATTGAATGTATATCACCCTACAAACCAGTAATTCATGGTGCTACGTAATATTCTATGTAATTATTTCTGTTTTTCCCAGTTCAATTGGGAAACTAATTAAAATACGGAAGTATTTTCTTAAATCCCAAGTAAAGGAGAGTCGATAAATTCTGGGTTACTGTTTCTTGGGTAAAAAGGTTTAGTAGAGACAAATTTCACAACATATACTGACACTGCGAAAGCAGATGTTTCTTTTATTGCAAAATATTTTTATAACAAAGTGACAACAAACCTTACAACCGTGTAGCGAATTTCTGAACTTCAAGTTGTATTAATCATGGTATTTTTGTAGCATAACGAACTAAGTTTAAAATATGTCTGCATAAAATTAATTTTATTTATTTTAATCTATAAATAACTTTTTTAATTATTAACAACTATAAAATTTAAAACTATGGTTGACAGAAAATAACACCAGTTTTATATTAAAGAAATAGATGGCGTTAGTGAGTCAGTCGGTCAGTTTCTAGGTAGGTAATCAGGTTTTGAGACTTGATAGAATACATATTCTTGGTGCTCGAGTTAAGAGCTTGTGTTATTAGATGCACATGTATTATAAACTACTTTATAATTGCTTACTAGCAAGTTCGTCCAAACTGGTGGCAAGGGGACTGTGTTTGATTTGACTATCACCATGCCGAAACTGATGCCAATGATAACGCAAACAGTAACTTTAAACACATTTTTTTTTAATCATGTTTGTTTTACATTATCTTTCTTCCTTGTATTACTCAGGTTATATAAGCATCTTCTGTTTGTTTTTTCGGTCGTAAAGTATTTTTTCTAACATTTGTTTTTGTTCTGATACTTAAATAAGTATATCGAAAGTTTTTTATTGTACAGTAAATTTATGTCAATATTCGCTTTTGCTGATGTTGAATCAAAGTTTTCTCCGTTTTGACAAACAGGATCCCGACGATGAAGTTGCCTCGTCTGCTGATGCTTACGTAGTAGTGTACTCTGTGGCCGACAGGGATACTTTTGAAAAGGCCATTGACATCCTTTTCTGCCTCCGAGAACGAGGCTATACAGCAACACAAGCTGTAATTCTGGTAGCCAACAAAACAGACATGGTTAGGTCGAGAGATGTCACTAGAGAAGGCAAGATATAAATTATATCATTATTAAACACTTTGTACTCCAGTTCTTCAGTAACACATATATCACATTTTATAAATAGATAAAAAATAAAGAAAGGATTGTCTTAATTTTTAAAAAATGCTAGAATGTAAATGTTAAATATCGCCCCGTGCTTTTAAACCTTTCCCCATCTTGAAATTTTAAAAACAAATCATTTAACTATTAAAACCCTAAAGAATAAACCAGTAAATAATGGACTTGTTTAATGCTTTATTTGAATTCATTATAATATTTATGATAAATTAATTTTTGTTTATTACTGTTTTTAGATCATTGTTTGTTTGTAATTAAGTATAAAGCTACACAATGGGCTATCTATGCTCTTTCACCACGAGTACCGAAACCCATTTTCTAGCGTTGTAAGTCCGCAGACATACCGCTGTGCCACTTGGGGACATTGTTAGAGTTGTTTGTTTTTTGAATTTCGCGCAAAGCTACACGAGAGCTATTTGCGCTAGCCGTCCCTAATTTAGCAGTGTAAGACTAGAGAGAAGACATCTAGTGATCACCACCTACCTTGGGCTACTCTTTTACCAACGAATAGTGGAATTGACGGTCACATTATAACGCCCCTACGGCTGAAAGGGCGAGCATGTTTGGTGTGATGGGGATTCAAACCCGTGACCCTCAGATTGCGAGTCGAGCGCCCTAACTACCTGGCCATGCCGGGCCACATTGTTAGAGAATTGATTATTTGACGGTTATATGCACATGCGCAAAACAGTTGTTTACTTTTAAATCTTTCCAGTAAAACTGTAGATTATTACTTAATTTTTAAAAAACCTGCCTGACGTTACATGAAATAAATGAAGCCAACCTGATTCAGATATCTTGAATAATTAAAATTTCTTGCACAGGATTACTAAAAAGTTTCTTTGTTGCTTGTTATCTTTTCCTTGTTTTTTTTTTTTTTTTACATGTTCATGTTTGAAATTCAACAACCATTTTTTTAGTTTAAGCTCAAACTACCTGTAAAATTTTGCGGACCCTTTTCAGACTGTTTTAATTTATTTTTACACATTTATAAGAATTATTCTGAAAATAGCGCATTGAGGTGAAGTAGGAGGTGAAAGTAATTTTCTGTCATGAAGATGATGAGTGGATGAAACGTTTAGATCTGCTCTCTGTAAATGAAATGAGAAACGTGTTCATCTGGAACTCAATAAAACATGCCTTTCTCTCTATCCTTTGAGCAGGAATACACAAACGTATATTTTAGTAACAGAGATATAAAAGACTCCACGATAACAAAAACACTGCTTTTCGTTTTATTTTGGATTCTGACCTTCATATTTCTCTTTGTATTAATTCAAGGTCACACATAGTTATTCATATTGTTCAACAGAAAAGAAAACTGACTGGGTTGAAAGAATAGTTGGACTTTCGGAATAAAAGTTAAAATATATGATAATCTATTCAGATCATAAAAAAAGAGTTAATCATCCATTTTCTAAACTGCATATGAAACGCTTACAGTTGCTTACACAGATTTCGTTTGATCTTTCAGAAGGTAGAACAGTGGCCATATCGTATGAATGTAAATACAGTGAAACATCAGCTCTCATAAACCACAAGGTTGACGACCTGCTCGTGGGAATTGTAAGCCAGATTCGACTGAAAACTCAGCAATTATCGGACATGGGTCACATGTCACCCACCACAAGAGTGAAAAAACATAAAAGTAAAGGTTATTTACATTGTCCGAGTGGACATCGAGCTAGAGGCTTGTTTAATAAACTTTTCGGAAAAGGAAATTACAAATCAAAATCTTGTGATAATTTGCAGGTATTATAAAATAATTTCCACTTACATTTGGATTTGATCGCAAGAATTTGAAAAATAAACTAAAGTTTCGAGATTCACATTTAGACCATAACATACCTAAACGTTATTAGATGTTTTAATAAGTATCTTGAAAATATCTTAATATATCTTTTATTAGAGTTCCTATTTTCTGAACACTCACATATCATTAAGTTATACATGTACGTATTTAAAAAAAATTACTCAGTTCATCAAGAGTGATCCAGAAATTTCTTATGTTTACTCCTGTAAGGATTTATATAGATATAATCTGTTTACTTATATATACGATTACTTACGCTATATAATAATAAAAAAAGAAAACGTTTTTAATATTTTATTTAATAATACTGAGTTAAATTACAGTTTCAGAAATAAAGGTACGATATTTACACCCGATAACAACAGCTTTCCCGCCATAACTTTTCTGTCCTATAGAATTTGTCTATATAAGTAAAATATATGTTAGAAACAAGAAGAACAAATCGTTTATAGAATTTTCGATTTCTTATGGTCACACCTATTATTGCTTGACACGAGATGTATCACATTATCTACTACTATTCATATATCACAAGATAAAGTAAGGCAAATGAAGAGTTTATATATAAGTTTTTTTTATACAGCTAATTCTCTTCGTATTTCGGGACCTTATGTAAGGAAGTTAGTTTATACGAGAATGGCACCCTTAAAGCTGTTTATACTGTGAAATCTAGAATAACGAACTTAGTTTTTGTATACAAAACTAAAAAAGCAAGAGTTTGATTTAGACACGAACTATCGAATAGCGAATATTACGGATCACAAGGGTTCTTGTGGCGTATGTAGATTTAGTATATAAAACATTGATTAATACACAGCGAACTGTTTCAAATCGAATTACAGAGCGGTGAGTTTGATTAAGATATATCTTACAGTGAGAATACGGAATGGTTGATTTATGTGGAGCAAAGAACGAAACTTCAATTATCATAATAATGTTTTGTGATTGAGAAAATACCTAATTAATATCGATAGAAATACCTGGTAAAATTTGATGAAAATACCTCGTAAACATTAATAAAAATACCTGGTAAACACTGATAAAAGTACCTGGTTATCATTGATAAAATACCTGGTAAAAATTGATATAATTACCTGATAAAAGTTGATAAAAATACATGGTAAAAATTGATGAAAACACCTGGTAAACATCGATAAAAATACCCGGTAAACATTGGTAAAATATACTTGGTTAAATTGATAAAAATACTTGGTAAACATTGTTAATAATTAAATTTTCTTTGTTAACTTTTTTGATGATATAAACAAGCTGGTGATAAGGGATCAAAGTAGTTATCAGAATACAGTATGTTAACTGTCAAGATGAAACTATGTAATGAGATTTACTGAAAAATGTTGACTGAAAGGACAATTGTTATATACTTGCAAGCTTCTATGATCGAGATTATTTACAAACTTATTATTAATAATTATTATATGTGCCTGGTAAAAACATTATTGTTCTTATTAAAATATCTGTTGTTTATGGAAGGCTTGCACTACTCGCGTATTAAATTGTTTATGTAATAAAATCCAAAAATTCAAGACAATAAAAAACATCTCAGCCTGGAAAACATTAAGACAAAACCTAAAAAGAAGTATTCTTAAAATCCCATAAGTTGTCAAGGGTATATGAAGGGGATTATTTATTCAGAAATGTATTTTACATAGGTTTATGTGCTACTCCCCTACATAATGTATTTTACATAGGTTTATGTGCTACTCCCTACATAAATATACTAGCAACAGAGAAATAAATAACAATTCCAAAATGTCCTCAATTTTAGATAATTATTAAAGGTAGCACATTTGAATAGCTACACTAATATATTTAGAGCCATTGAACTATCGATAATAGTCCATATACAAATTAATTAATGAAATATTATCAAGAAAACATAAAACCAATTGTGCTTCATTAGACTTGTAATGCTTTAGCTTTTGCTTCTGTAACACGTACATCTTTGCCTGTTGTGAATTTAAACTCTATATTCCGTATTTATCGGACACTGACTTGCTGAAATTGTAAACTGATTTTGCCACCAAATGTGTATTTTTACTTGAATACCAACAACGTGCTAGAAACTACAACTTGTTTTAGGTAAATTCCCCTGGTAAACGAACGTTGGCCGGATATCGTGTAGCTTTTAATGTTATTTCATTTCCAACCTAGTTATAGTAGCAACATTTTTTATTTCACCTTGAAACATGTCTTATTGTGGATAAAAATTTGAAAAAATATGTATGTGACTTGCACATAATATGAAATACTTATTTCATCAGCATGACTACATACACGTGTACATTATATTGTACTTACACGTGTACATTATATTCTAACGACATACAAGTGTAGATTATATTGTAAAACGACTACATACACGTGTACATTATATTGTAGAACACGTGTAGATTATATTGTAGAACGACTACATACACGTGTACATTATATTGTAGAACACGTGTATATTATATTGTAGAACACGTGTATATTATATTATAGAACACGTGTATATTATATCATAACTACATACACGTGTACATTATATTGTAATTACATACACGTGTACATTATATTGTAACTACATACACGTGTACATTATATTGTAACAACATACACGTGTACATTATATTCTATCTACATACACGTGTACATTATATTCTAACTACATACACGTAGACATTTTATTGTAGAACACGTGTATATTATATTGTAACTACATACACGTGTACATTATATTCTATCAACATACACGTGTACATTATATTCTAACTACATACACGTAGACATTTTATTGTAGAACACGTGTATATTA